TCCGCCCGCCGCCGGGCAGGGGGCGGCGCCCGGGCCCCTGGGAGCTGTAGTTCCTTCTGGATTTCTAACTTAAACAAAGGAAAAAAACCACAACTTAGCTTAAAAACTGCGCGTCTCAGAGAGGACTTCTCTCAGACGCATTTTAGGCCACCTCCATTCACAGTTATGAGGCACTGACTATTTCTGAGCCCATTCTGGAGGAAATCGAAGCTACTAGTGCAGGTGTAAAGCTCGCTCTCCGCCCGGGCTTTTCCTGCAATCACCTCTCTCCAGTTTAAAGGCACTCACAATTCATTGCCGTTTTAATACAAACGGAAAGAAGCTCACAACGCCACTGCCTTGACTTCCTCCTTGCGAGCCTTCTGGGGCTGCTGGCAGGCCATGCAGCACACGCAGTGCAGGTGTTGGGCCCTGCACGCTGACAGCCATCGGCCATGGAACCAGCTCCCTTCTCACCCCTCTCAGATTTGCTGAAGACCCTTCTAGCGACAGGGGCAGGCTTGCAGGAGCACTGGTGCAGCACGGTCCACCACCTCTGATAGACCTCCTGGTGCAGCACTCTTGGTAGATATTTCACAACAGGAGAGAGGAGGGAAGAGATTTCACTAGTTGGCATTTCATCCTTCTGAAAACGAACATTAACACCTCAGTGCTCACCTTGAGCAGGCGAGCAACCCTCAGAGCATCCATACTCTCCAAAGAAAGAAACACTGTTGTTGCTAAGCACTGATTTAAAACCAGAGTCCCTTCCCCCCCCAAAACAGGAAAGAACAGTTTGACAATATATTAAGCAGAAACCTTTACATTGTTATCACAGAAGTGGCTTATCAATGCTCAAAGCCCTACACAAGATACTTGATTACTGCATGTGTGGTTAAGTCCGGTCAAAGATGGAAGTAATCTGAATATGGCAAAATACTTTTTAACAGCCTATGAGCTAACATGCCCTCAAGTCATGTTAAAACAAGCTCTTCCTAGTAAATAGACTGAAGGAGGAACGGATGCTTCTCTTTGCACTGACATGCCTGGACAAATCAGGCCTAAACACTAAGTGGCTACACAAATACAAAACTAATCTAAAAGACCTAAGCCGAGCTCAGAAGACATGTCCAGAATAACTTTTCACCTAGCTAGAAACGTATTACAGTTGGCACCCACAAGAGCCAGCAACATTCAGGGCCCGGGGAATTCCTGTGGCTGTTAATAACAGAACAGATAGTGACAAGCAAAGCCACAATTACAGAAAGGACACACAGAAATGAGCATCTGGGAATTCCCAAAGATCTCAGCTATATTTTTTAGCACATTGCACAGAAGTCAATGCAGTTTAACATGCCATTCTCTGTTCATAATTTGACACATCTCTAGCTGAAAAGAGGCAGATCTGAATAATTTCAGAGAGAACGTGCCCATGTCAGTTAGGGGTCAGAATAAAAAGGGTAACCAGCAAGGGCTGAACGCCCAACATCTCCTAAGAAAAATCTAGCTCTCAACTCCCTGCTGCACAGCTTAATCTCATAAATGGAATGTATTTTATTCCCACTTCTCACTGAGCTTCAAGATTTCCTGCAGATCTTACAGATCACAGACACAGCCAACAGTTCAACTAATCAAAACTCTACAGTACCCGAATTTCGCACCACTGTGAGAACTAAGAATGAACCTTATCTAGGTGGCGGGAAAACACATACTTAGAGCAGCCCGGGCAATGGGAGAAGCTGGCAGTCATCTGAACACTGGCAAGCTCCTCACATGTACCATTAACCCATCCCAAGAGCAGCACATTAACAAGTCACCCTAAAACCATTGTGGTGGAGAGAACAACAAACTTCCCATGGAAGGTGCGCGTAAACAGCGCTCTGCAAAACCAGTGTTAAACTGAACAAATAGCGAGCAAGATGCAAATGGCTGGGCATGGATTCGTGCTACTGAATAACATTATTTCCACCTCAGCAGCTAATAGTCCTCCCCAACTCTTCTAAGCATTTCCCTTTTCAAGCAGTATCATTCTGATCTCACCTGCTTTCAGCTTAAGCCTGCACGACCTCAGTTCACAACTTCACTTCCCTACCAACCTCGTGACTCCATTTTCTGGTGGTAGTGCTTCTGCTGGCTGAAAACAAAACACAGATCGAGTGCCAGGATTATTTTGCTATCGCATTTGGCCTCCCAGCCAGAAGTCAAAGAAAAGGGAGGAGAGGCAAAGTAGCTATAGTTGAGGGCCTTCAGAGAAGAAAGGCAAATGCCCCTCACCATTCTCCAAGTTGTGCTACAGGGAAAAAGCAGTCAGAAAATTGCAGATCCAACTTCCTTCTTGCCTCTCAGTTCTGTGGGCGGGCCACAAATACGTGCAAGAACCTACCAGCCACTCTGGCGCAGGCGTGTGTCAGCATACTTTGCTCAGAACCATAAAACTGAAAGTGTGTTTTCTCCTCCCTTGACCACTGCATGAGCCACACACAAACTGAAGAGTACGGCTACTTCCCGCAGTCCTTTAGACGATTTTGACAGGGTGTTACCTCCCTTCTAGTAGGTCTTCATTAGCAGGCAATAATGTCACCTATGGAGGTGGCCTGATGTTAACAAGTAGAACAAAATACCATGCCAGTTTAATCAAGGTGTGACTGATCAGCACACCCCCACCAGTGGAGGATAGCTCAGAGGAAAGGGCAAAAACCCCAATGATCTCAGGGAAGAATATATCATAAAGAAAGCTCAATTTACCTCAACATCAAGGAGACTGGGAGGGTAACCTTAGTTTTAGAGAAGACAGCTGCAGCTGTGAATCATCAGGTACCCCAAGACAATTAACAAAGAATAACATCTTCCTGAGCTAGCCAGACCAGCACAGGGGGCGTGAATAGTGGCTCAGCCCAACATAGAAGTATCAAAACTGGACAACTGATAAAACATTTAAACTTTGAAAAGAGCAATGGGCTTGAGCTGGCTTCAACCCACATGTTCCATTGTGACAGGGGATCCCAATGTCATGATGGCGAGCATAGCGAGATGGGTAACGAGAATCATGTTTGTATTGTGATTCAACTGTATATTGCAATTGCTAAATTATGCTTGTGTTGTGATTTCAGTATGTTGCTTTATCACTCTACTAAATCAAAATCCCATGCAGCACCAAATATACCAAGTAAGTAAATTTGATATCCGATTCCTCCTCATGTGGCATATCTGAAAGATCTTCGTCTGAGAATACTGAACTGACACAGAGAAATATGAAAAAACAGAAGTGCTGTAGATTCACAACTTCACTACTGGAACAGCTGCCACCTTCCAGCAAGTTTCTCCCAGAAGGAGCAGTTATTTAAGCTATATTTCCTTATAAAACAACAATCACAAATCTAATTACTAACCTCATATCAGCGTCTCATTTATGAAAATGTTATAAAAATGTAAATAAATTGTTGCCACATTTCCTAAATAGTTAGCCAAATGTCGGCCACATAATTGTGTCATACCTGGTAAAACCTTCTGGTAACTTTTGCCACAAACAGCACTCTCATTTACATAGTGTTTGTAACACCTATTTATTATTTATGAAACCTGTGTGAACAAAGCTGTGATTTTAAGAATGGTCATTCTCCCTTTTACTTGGAGGGTGAAAAAGGGTAAGTGGAGCAAAATGTACCTGCCAACACGTTGTGTGGAATTAGAAAAAAAAAAAAGTTTTGCATCAAGAACACAAGCACGATTGAATAAAGAACCCCTGCTTTACCACTAGACATGGATTTCCAAAAACTACAAACTAAAAAAAGCAGAAGTTACAAAGTGTCTCAAATCCATCCTTTACCTTGTTAGAAACTCAAAAGGAATGTAGCTGTTAGAATCCCATACAGCTCCCACACACCACCTACACATTGCTAAACATGCAAGGTAAGAACAGCCTCACTGGCACCAGCTGCCATTATCATGAAAGTCCTTTCCTACCGCCTCTCCAGCTGCTAATGAAGGGATATCAATATGCTACCCCTCGGGGTGGCTGCCATCGAATACTTCAACAAGAGCAAAATAACTTCTGCTGCTGAAGTAAAAGTGTTCATCATGCTGACTGTCCCCCTCAGTCAGCTCATCCGAAAGAGAAACACACTGTAAACAAAGGTGATGTGAAAACCAAGAGTATTTATTACAACAGAAACAAGAGTCCACAGGAGTTGGACTCAGTTGCCAGGAGAATGCATCTCGGAGTAATGGATCTAATGGAGCAGGACCTTCCTTCCAGTGGTCGACAGCCATTCAAAACAGACTGTCCCCTAAGGGCTCTGAGAAAAAACACAAATGTTTTTTCTTACTATTAAAAAAACAAAACAGCAGTGCTGTTTAGCCAAGTAAATTAATAACACAAAGCAAACCAAATATTTGGAGGAAAAGAAGCAAACTTGTATTACCATAATCATCTTTTTTTGGTCCTTCTGGACAGGGATGTTACCTTCCATGAAGAATTATACAGCTTCCAGAGACAGTCAATGATTCATCTCTGGATAAATCAGTTACAGTCTTCCACATGCTCCCTGGGAAGGGATCTAGCATTCTGAATCTCTCTCTTCTTTTCTTCAGATTTCAGGGACTTATAACAACTCAGACACAAACAGGACTTCCATTGGCATTTCCAGTAATTCTTAAAAATCGTACTACTTGGAAGTGCTTCCTCCCTGGAAACCCAGACTGAACAGACTCCACTGCTTCTGCAGGACAGAAAGCCAGATCTGTACTACTCCATGGCCTTACCAGACTGCTACAGATCCAGGTGCCAGGAGACTGATTAAACATGGGAATTGGAAAATTTAGGTCCCATGGTCCCTTGAAGGACTGGGGCTAACCACATAGATCCAGATAATTTCTCTTGCAAATTCTCTTCCCTGTGGAAGCCGATTCCAGATGTGATTCCTAACTCAGTATATTCTTATTTTTCTACTTTTCAGTTGACTGACATGGTGGAATTTGGAAGATCAATTGCTTCCGTAGGGTTGATGTTATCTTTGGCATCTGCTTCCATCCATTTAGTACTCTTCCTCCTACTTCCTTGTTCACTTCTGTCAGGATGGTTACGAGATCCTTGCGGCTTGAACAAAAATGAAGAAAAGTTACACTGAAATACACGGTACTTGCAGCTAGGCCAAGCAGCTGATCTAGGTTTGCTCCAATAAAGTGGTATCTGAGGGAAGGCTAGTATCTGCCCCTCACCCTGCCTGTCACTGCAATTGCATGCTCCACTGTGCAACCACAGAATTCAGTGTGTTTGGGGGAATAAAAGCAACCTCCGTGTAGCATTGTTTTACCAGCAAAAGCAGTCCCTTGCTTTGGCTATTGTCAGAAGATTACACTAAGATGAAACAGAACCAAACCTATGCATTCTCCACGCCCTCTTATGGACACCATGAGAAAGTGGCATCTGAAGAGAAATTCTATTTTCTAAATCAAGTTTATGATGGGGGTGGGAGGGAGGCAACAACGAAAATTAGGACTAAAGAACACTGATTTTTTTTGTCTGTGTAATCACTCAACAAATTCACCTCTCATCAGGTGTCACTGGAAGAAAAATAATTTATCAGTCAAAAAAATGTTAACAGACATGCACACGCATACACACACGCGTTTATATGTAATGTTCCAGCATTACAATCCTGGTTCTGTCACAGGCAAACTAGGGGAAGTCGCTTGTACTTTGGTTCATCTGTAGAAGAATAACAATGCCCAATTCCAGAATAATTACTGTTCTGCACTGTCCTGCAAGTGAAAAGCATTATATAGCACAAATACAAAACAGTTATTTCAGCACAGCATGCTTAAGTATGTATGTCTGCAATACCCCAAAAGTACATGGATTAAAAATAGTACTTACAGTGGGCAAAGCGACTCCATCTTATCACAGAGGCATTGAACATAAACACTGCCAGTCTTCGTACAGCGGTAGCACTCATAGTCTTCCACTGTAGCCATGCCAACTAGAATATCAGCCTTATCAGGAATGGAAGTCAAAGGGGTAGCATCCGTCTCAAGATGGTCAGAAAAGTCTTTTACTGTGACAGCTGGATGACCTACACAGCCTTGACAAGCCTGGATGAAAAACAGCTTGGGTTTGCCAGCAAGAGAAGGACAATTAGATCCACTGAAGCAGGAGAGTAAATCTTTAATATTTACAAACTCATGATCAACGCCTTTTATTTTGTCTTTTTCACCATGGGAAAAAATGAAGCAAACAAAACAGTCCATGTTACTATGATCTTTTTCACTGTATTCTTTAACTTTTGCATACATTTGCTTTGCTTCTAGATCCATGTGCTCAACTGTCTCAAACTGAAGCCACTTAAACACCCTCTTCACAGCCTCTGGGAAGAAAAGTCAGAAGGCACTTGTTAAACAGTGACAGGGAATGTGCTGAAACATCAGTGTCCATGTGGTAGATCAGATATTAGCAAAAGTGTTCAGATCCCACCAATAAACTCACCTGACTGACTCTTAGCCTGCCAAATCTAATTAGAAAAACCCAAATGCCTAATTTTATTTTTTTTAAACACAACTGGGTTAAGTATCATGCTATCTAAAAAAACCCAGGTTTCAGATTATCTGATTAATCAGTACAAATTAGTGAAGCTTACTGTGTTAAAGCAAGCTTTAACTGTGCATTGCAGTTTCACAAGACAGTTTAGTGGGCTTAGTGGGCATGGCAGCATCGGGTATACGGTTGGACTTGATGATCTTTGAGGTCTCTTCCAACCATAATGATTCTATGATAGTAATCTCAGATGCTTAAGAACAACACTTACCAAGTTAAAGAAGAGGTACCCCTTTAGAATGACAAATTCTGCCACTCTTAAATGAAGTCGGTCCCTCATTTTGTGAGAGCTGTCAGTGCAGCAAGAAGGCAGGCAGGATAACCTGCTAACAAATGCTATGCAGACTTCTCAGCAAATGTTAACTTAATTGTTGTGTGGGCAGTGAGAAAACAGCTGGGAAGCAAGCAGCCTGTAGACAGGCTGGATGGAGTTAAAATATCAGTGATGTGTGCTTTCATCAAACAGATTTTCCTTTTTTAAGATAAACTCTTGTTTATCTTAAAAGTGACTCTTGCAGGAAGACAGGCTTTAAGGAAAATTCTAAAGCAGTAGCATTTATTTGAGGGTTAAAGAGAATGTAAAGACTTAAAAATGTTACTTCATGATAGCTAAGAATTAAAAACAATCAAAAAGTGAAAAGGTAGAATAGTAATCCCTCCTTCACTATTTGGTACATAGACCAATTAAGATGATGCTTTTTACCTAGAACAGAAAGTGGTTCCTTCTCTAAGTCATCACCTAAACTGTTGGAAGTGGCATATTTCCAACTTCTCCAGTGACTGTCATTCCAGTTACTCTGGAGGCAAAGGAGCTCAGTGGGCATGATTCTTCTTCACAGGAAAGATCAGACAATTCTTTTGGAGAATTATCAGAGAAAAAAAACCCAAACCAAACCAGTAATTGGATTTAAAAAGTGCTTACCTCCATCTTTCATTGTTCCTTCTCTGGCTTCATATGGATTTTTAAAAATGTAGTTGTTAAGAATCACACAGTAACCATGGGGGTTATTTTCCATCTTATATGATTCCACAAGCTGTAGAAACAAAGAAAGCAGATAAGAAAGCAGTGCCAAGCATCCAAAAGAGAAATATACTATACACAGATGGTTGGGCCTTCATGTCCAAGTGCAAAAAAGTCATGAGTATCAAGATACAAGAAAGGAAAAGCCTAAGAATACAAGCTTGTTACAGGGGAGAGGAATCTGCTTTGTCTCCCTGAATCCCTCCTCCTCTCTCTCTGTGGTTAGGATATGATTTTGGCATGGGAAAAAGTAAGTATCCAGAAACACAAATTTGCACGTGCAGAGGAAAAGTTCCTGCATCCTACCATTCCCTCTGAGAGTCCTTGCGGGTTTCTAGTGAGGTAGCAGATGCTGTTGTTCCCTCCCTGTCTGTCCAGGATTTTAATGTCCCAGTCTCTATTATTTTTAAGATTGGTTTTCTTCACACAACAGCTACTCCTTCTTTTCTTGCTTAAAATGTTGCTGACAGCCACATCCTCACAAAGGAACAAGGCTTAGTCTTGTTTTGGAAATAGGAATTATTCCAAGGCCTATAAATAAAGCCAGAACCCCTCACTTTCAGCTCTTCCACCTGCTTAGTCTTAATTTATGCTCTTCCCTCCCAGGAGCTGGATAAATAATTTAAAGGTAATCTTGAGGTACTTCTCACCAGGTGTGGTGTCTCCCCCTCTGCTCCTTGTTCTGCTGGATGCACAGACACCAACTCTGGATAATGGAGTTTGTCCTTAGAATTATTTTCTAAGAGATAAACAGAACATTTTAGGACTAAAAAGATAAAGCTTCCAACGTGCATATTTCAATACTCAAAAAACCAGTACAAGGAGTGACGTGGAGGGTGGTCTCCACATCACTGAGATACCATCATTTTGCAGAGCTGGGCCAAGCAGGCTTCTAGTTTCACATACTGCTGGTTATTGAAGCTGTGCAGACCTGTGCTCCATTTCTTCTCTGCTTTTTTACTGGTAGCAAGATCCAGATAATAAAAGCCTGAATGTGAGTAGTCACTCCAGGCAAACTATTCACTAGCATCTCCACTATGGGATACATAAGTGAAAGAGGGGCGGTACAGTCTTACGCTACAGCTAGTTCATTTACTTCTGAGGCCCTTGTCTGTTCTCCAGAGAACTTTACCGTTTGGGTGGACACACCAAGGATGCAGAATACCAGCATAACGGAAGAGCTCCTCAAAGCAACAAAACATTTATTTCAATACAACTGCCTGAAATAAGTGAAGAAATCATCAAACCCATGACTCTACCCAAGGAAATAAATCACAGTACCCCTTTTACAAGTTACACAGATGTGTTTAAATGGAATTTATTGTCAGGGCAACAAGATCTATAGAACATGCTCTTTTTCTGCTTATCAAGAGGGACAAAATAATAACAATACTATTGAAAAGCCATTCCTCTGACACAGGGCTTGCTTACACTTGCCGCCCTTGGCAATTTTCTTCTGCTCTTTGAGAGACACAAGCACAGGTCAGTAGCACAAAGACATGCTGAGGAAACTAGTCAGTATCTCTGCAGGGAACTACATGGGCTGTATAGATCTGTCTAAGGAAACGTATGTTCCAAGTCATCCAAAAGGAGGTCCTGGGGAAAAATTTAATAGGTCTCAGTTGTTATTGGTTGATATATCCTGTTTCTCAAAGAGTAAGGCCCAGCTGTGGCATCAGAAGTCACCACCTAAGCTGCAACAGCCCAGATATACTGAAGTCCTTGAAATTTTACATCTGGTACAGAAAGCTAATGGTTACACTTTAGCCAAGTACCTAGTCTCCACGGACTTTTCCTTTGACTAAGATCAAACAGCCTGGCTAACAGAAAATAACACCAACAATCTCCCAATACAAGTTTCCCCAAGGCAACTATCACTTGCACTCTCTTTCAGTGACTGAAAAGCTATGCTGGTCCAAAACCAGTACTGCACTGTTTTCTGAAGAGAAAAATTGCATTTAAGACAAAGAGGAGGGAGAAGCAGAACATTTACAAGGCACAGAACATATTTCAAGGAGAGATACAATAAGGTATGATGGGATAATGAAGTAGCAGAAAACTTCAGAAACCACAGGTACCAAGAGCGGCTCTGCCTATCTGACGATACTGTAAAGTCTCTCTCTTATCTGTGGACTCCTGAGGTGCCACAGGTGGAGCCACAAAAATCACAAAAAAAACCAGCTCTACTCTTAAACAGCAGATTAAATAATTTACCTTTTTTTTTTTCTTCATAGTTATCAATTTTTTTCTTTATGTCAGCTCTAAATCCCTTCAATATATCTTTCAGCATTGCCAGGTCATCATCTTTAAGTATCCCATTTCTTTCCATTTCCAGGAAGACCTTCAACATTGACTGGGAAAACAAAAACATATAACCCAAACTCATACAGTGACCTTCAACAACTGCAGCATCAGGCAGTTCTGGACAGAGCAGAAGACAACATCCTCATTCCCAGTGACTGATCAGCTAAAGACCAATTTCTTCTTCCTCCAAACCTCATTAAAGTAAGAGTCTGGATGCAATACAACTGAAGAAACACATCCCTAAGGTTAAGACAGGATGATTAGAAATTGCTTATGGCTAGGTTATCCTGCTTTGTTTCAGCAGTGCAAAGCACTGATGTGGATAACAACATGGCATCCTGTTGTACCTCTGTGTTCAGATGAAGTGCAGTTAAGTCATTTGGCTGTGCCATTTTACGTTTTCTATTACAGAAAAGGTGTTCAGGGATAATTCTGGTTTTTAAAGCTCAATAGTCCACCAAGTTGGAGATAAATCTGCTAATTTTCCTCTAGGAGCCACAATACAAATAGGACTTTCACAGAAGCTTCTTTATAATACCAAGCATTTTTATAACACTGTTCATTATTTACAAGTATTAAACTAGCTCAAACCTCTTAATACTTTTGTAGGGGATTGAACAAAATCCTGTTACCCCAAATTACAATAAAGAAGAAAATATACCCAATGATACACAAAAATTTGTGGTTGAACTCACATTATAACTCAATTTTCTGTTTCCAAAACATTGTTTTTCCTCCAGCAAACATCACTCTTCCTAGATACAGAATATGTAGAAATGTCTTAGAAATGCCAAGCAAAGACGAAAAGATTAGGGAGACAGGTGGTAGAGGGAAAATAAGAACAGGAGAGCAAAAAACAGCAGAGTAAAGATACAACAAGGAAAAAAAGGTCCATTCTTTCACATAGCAGCTATCAGCTAACATCACAATTTTTACAACAACAGATTTTAGTGACAGCAGACTACTTTCTCTTTCCTCCCTTCTTACAAGGGCTAGCAGACTCTGAACTAGCCTTGCAAGAAACTTATCTTGATAACTTTGCATACAGCATTATCCTGGAGCTTGTTCTTTGGTATTTGTTTTTGGAGCAGGAACTTCACACTCTTGACATCTTCTGGAGTCAAGTCCTCTGCAATTCCATATAGCAGTTGCCTAGCAATAAAGAATACAGAAAGACTGATTAAGAAAGTTATGAGAAGTAAACACCACAATTACCCATTGCAGTAATTACCATTACTGCAAAATGTGAAACTCATAATGGCAGGTAGTCATGCTGTAATAAATACAATTATGCTGGGATATTCATCAGACAACAGTGCAGCCAGAAAACAAGACAGTACACAACAGAACTGTTGCACTTTTGCATGCAAAGGTTTACTACTTCTGTGCTTACCTGTAGGCTGACACCCGTGCACTGCCTGGGGTCTGAAGCTCTCTCTCCATCTCCTCTCGGCTGGAGCCCAGCTGGGCAGCCAGGAGGTCCATTCGATTGATCCGGTAGAGCAGCTCCTTCAGGAAGGACAGGTTCCCTGCCTCGATCATGTCTTTCTCCTGCAGTGCTTCAAAGAAGGCCTTGGGCTCCTGGATGGCTTCCAGCTTCCTCATTGGGACGTGCTCCAGGCTGAGGAACTTCAGAGCTGCCAGTTCATCTGTGACCAAAGCCTCAGAAATGTCAAAAAGGAGTTTCTGGAAGTCTGTACTCATTTCACATCAGGATTTGGATCTAAACACAAAGAGGTGATTTCATTTGTCAGTAACAGTAGTGCAACAACATGATTACAAAAGGTATCACATCATGTAGAATAGTCCAAAATAAATACATGCAATCAAAAGTACTTCAGGAGAGAGAGGCCATCTTGCTACCATAGCTTTGATGCTTAGCTCTTTTGGTTCTCTTGACTTAACAAGGAATATAAAAAACTTTGAACTAAGTGAAATTGACAAAGTCACAGATCGTTCTTGCTTCCTTCCATACTATATGGTATGTCTAGACAGCGGGAAGTACCAATGTACAGGACGTACAATCCTGGCAGGCTGCTGCTGGTTTGGTTTTGGTTTGGCTTGGTTTGGGTTTTTTTGAGGTTTGATCCCATTTGGTAGCAAGAGCCACTTGCCAGTCCAAAATACAGTCTATGTAGTAAACAAGACTGCTAGGTTTTACATCATAACAAAGATAAAGGTTTTATATCATAAGAGTCCACATGACTATAACTCTTCTAAGCTATCTGTCTTCTCCTTTCTTTATACGCTACTTCCAACTCTGGTCAGCATAGATAAAGCACCTCTTCCTGTTTTGGATTACGTGCATCAAGTAAAACTCAGTTCTCAACTCTCAACCAATTTGTAATATTCAAATCAAATACAGACCATGTCAATCCTTTTAAAAAAGCCAGGAGAATTTTTGTCAAACTAGTTCTGTTTCACTGAGCATCAAATCCCACCTCCCTTTCCACCATTTCCTTCATCAGCTTTACAAATATTAAACCTGGCTTATGGATCCAACTTTTGAGCACAAGAGAAACTTAGAAAATACCAAGTGTAAGCCTTCCAACTATCTCACTCTGACACTTAAAAGACGTGCCTCTACTGCATCTCTGGTAAGAGAACCGTTTGCTGCTTTATTCTCTGCCTTAGATACCAGACACCTAGGAATCTCTGAAGAGAAACTCTATAGAAATGCATTCAGTAGAGGTTTCCTGTCCCACTGAACTCACTGGGAGACAGAAAAGTTGACAACAGCAAATCAAAACTTCAAACTCCTACCTTATGAAAATATTAGGCAATCTCTTTTAACGCTACTGTAAATGTTTCAATACCAGGGCTAATAATTCCAAGGTAGCCCAGCCAACTGAATCAGTACCACTGTAAATAAAAAAAAAAAATAAAATTCAGACCATTGTACTCCCCTCTCTTCCAAGCACCACTCTACAGCAAAGCAGCTTTTTGTAGCATGCCCTTGGTTAGTTAGCAAGACTGAAGACACAACTGAATCTTAAACCTTTGTCTATCACAAAAACTGATAAAACAACGAAATACGTGTTGTGATGTAGCATACATGATTCATGCTCTGCCCCCAAATACTTTTTTCTTTAAATCCATTCAAACGGAACTTTTAAACAGACTAGAACCCATACCATTCAGCCCATATCACCACAAAACCACTAGTATCTGAATGAATCATACGTGCTTAACCTCACGATTCAATGAGATCTGACTCAATGAGATCATCTCAGATCTGACTGTGTATTTTTATATCCGCACAGGAAAGAGAATACTTTCTCAGTAGCTAGTTACAAAGTTATCTTCTTTCTCACATATATCATGCCTTTTGTTTAAGATACACGGATTGTGCTTATAAAAGTAAATCTTTCTGGTAAAGGGAATTTTCATTTTTATTTCTCAAAGGCTCTAAGTTTCAAACCCACAAAACTATTGCGATTAGAACAGTTGTGCCACCTACACACTATATTTAAGCCTGTCTGTAAATACAGGGAGTACACTAAAACAATGTTTATCTGCTTCCGTCTTTTTCTCCCACTCTATTAAAGATACAATCTCTGCAACAAGCAAAAAGTTTAATAATAACAGTAATTTTACATCACTTACATGGGAGGACAGGCTGGAGGACTGCTGGAACAACTCTGAAAAAAGTGAGACAGCCATAGTCTCTAAAGTTCCAGGAAAAGTACTGCCTTTTGTACTATGGTCTATATTGTCATATGACTTACAAAAACTACATGATAACAAAGTAATAAGGTGCAGTCATAATCCAGCAGTTCCCTACTCCACCTATCACGGTTCAAGTTTCAGGAAGTTATTACAGTGCTTGTGAGGAAAAAGCATGAAACAAACCACAAACATAACCAGGTTTTGGTTTTGTTTTAAGGGGATACACTAAGCAGTATAGCCAGGACTTTCTAGCACACACCACAGCTCACTGGATTTGCTTCCACACATAAATCCTAATTAAAATACAATAAGGGAATGGTGAATCAATTATACCTTCCCATGAAAAAACATCCCAGTCTCACTGTCCTGCTGTGTCACTAGATCCTCCATGACTTACCTCCTTTCTCTAAACTCCCTCTCCAACTCACCCTAGCTTATTTTTAACACGCACTTTCATGGAAGATTGTTTCCTAAATTAAAAAAAAAGTCAGCTATCAGTACCGAATTCAGTAGCAGTACTCAGTGAATACACGGAACTGAAAGACTAAACATTTCTTTGAAATTATTTATGTAATATACTTCCCCATTTACAAGAGAATTTAAGCAATAATTAACTTCTGGCATTTTCACCCTCTTTGAAGTATAGAACTCTGCCTTCAATGGTAAGGTTCCCAGTATGATCTGCTGGTCACCAGTATCTTCCTTGCAGCCAGAAATACACAATCAGCAATCAGTACAGCTACCAGACTCTCCGAAGCTTGTGAAGTCAGCATTATCAAGAGAGACAGTTAGGAGAGCCAAATTTGGTAAAATTTTGCAATGAAACCACCTTTCATTGATTTCAACCTATCTACCTTTCTAAACTCAAAATAGTAACATACCCTACAACAGAATGCAGCATATCAATTCCTTCCAAAAGGCACACGCGAGTAACAGTTCAGAAAACGTGTCTGACTTACTTCACTGGTGCAAGTTGTCCTTTCATCCAAAGGCAGGGAGCCGTACAGAGGGACGCCACAAGCACTATCTGATCTTCAGGTCCAAAATAGTTCTGTCTCCATGTCATCCCATGCCTCAGTGCCTCTCTCCCTGCATCAGTTCCTCTGTGTCTTAACTGAACCAAGACTCCAGTTGCAATCTGAAAGAGGAAGTGTGCCGTGACAGCACCGTGTGAAAACTATTTGCGGACAAGACCAAGCCTAGGTTGGCTCTTTCCAGATAGAGGCTTCTCCCATCATGCACCAGTTTCAAGGACCAGCCCTCCTGGCGCTGTTCTTCCTCTTTGTCTTTACTGTTTCACTTCTTGTTTCTTCCTCTCTCGCCCTTTCCCAAAGTGTTCCTGTTCTTTTGTTAACTTACAGTCCCTCCAATTTCCCTCAGCCCTGCTGCACCCTGGTTTTGCCCCTCTAGCTTTCTCTAGAACTGTCTCAGTGACCCAATCCATTCCTCCTACAGCAGCCTGCAAAAAAATTCCTCTGTCCCAGAAAGGCTGGTCTTGAGGAAGCAAAAATGCCGAGGCTACAGACTACTTAGCAACTGTACTGACTGTGGCCTCTGCTGGCACAAGGCAGGATACATGGCTTCTGCACAAAACTGACCATCAGGAGGGACGGGGTACCAGAGACTTGTGGATGTTACAAATGCCACTTTAAGATCATGATCTTCCCAAGATACCAACTTCCCCAACAGAAAGTCTCTTTTTTACACTAGTTCCCCTTAAATCTGTCTAAAACAAGTGTTGCACAAGTCACAACCCTTCTTTAATTCTGTAGGTGGAGAGCATGCACATGTGCATATCCTTCTGTATGCCATCAGTAAGCCTCAACAGAAACCAAACACATTTTTTGTTTGTTTGTTTTAGGCTGCTTTCTTTCTGATACAGCCCTCTATTACTGGAGTTACACTGAAGGTGTGCACTTTGAACAGCAAGGAGCAATTAATATCTAAATTGTATAAAACCCACCCACTCTCCCCTAAGACTTTTAAACTGCTATCTTACAATACACTGCAGGAGATCATGCAGAAACATCCCACAACCTTGCTGAATGGCAGCTGTGGTTATAGCAGTAAGCCTACCCTGCCTTTGGGCTTGTGCTGACATGAGTACCACTGCGTGCACCCAAGTATTACAGTGTGCAGCCATATAAACGGACACAAGCAAAATATTCACACTGCATAGTACAAATCATGGTAGTGTAAACCACGTCTGAACAAACCTTATTATGAGTAAGGGGAGACTGCCAGTCTTTCATACTTCACAAGCATAGATCTCTCTCCCCAGGGAACACAAAGCAGAAGTCAACTTAGACTCCTGACTGCCTTTACCTATCTATGATTTAACTTTAGATTACCCAGGCAGAAGTCTCTACAGAGAAAGCAAGATAACATGATGATGCTCTCTGGCTACCAACTTAAAAATGAAAACAAGATCCCGTAAAACAAGCTCAAAACTGTTGCCAGTGTTTACTCCGTACTGATAAAAATTCAATTGTTACCTAAACATACAAAACAAGAGTGCACTGAGTCTGAACAGTAATTGCGAGCCAGAAACTTCATGATTCTAATATGTTATATATTCTACTAACAGACAGAACATTTTCTACCTGTGGCACGTGACTTCAAGTGTGGCAGCCATACTAACTCAGAAGACTCAAAATGCGATGGGTCACACAACAATTCATCATGACAAAGAGTGACCATTAGGTTTTGGCAAACTGGTTGCATTTCAATGCTCTGTATGATACAAAACTCCTCTCCAAAAAACCCTGGATAGTGCAAGCTAAAAATCGCATCAAACAGCACTAGAGAGTACTCTTTCAAAACTTCACCCTAACGTATGGCTAGTAACCGTATAGAACAATCAGTGTTTTGCTGAAATAAACTAAGTTTATTTCACTTCAGTTTAAATCCTGAGGCAGTTAAAACCCCACCGATTCATGCAGCCGAACAAAGTGCAGGGGCAAGTCAGAAAGAAGGATAAGCCTTACCTCAGTACATAATTTTTATCTCACCAAACTCTTAAAAAGAAGTATGAATTTAATGCAGTAACTAACAGGAAGGACACAGACATACATCGTAAATGCTCATAACAAAACAACATGATATTATTTCAGTTAATTCACAAAATGCTCTGTTAGAAGCTTAATCAACAAGGAACCTTGTTTCTCATACGAAATCTTACACCAAGAAGCAATAATCAGAAAATTTAATGCTTAACAAAGTTAATCAATCTGATAAACCTATACAGATACACTGCTGAATGCCGTATTTCATAGCGTGTAAATCTTCTACCCTAACTCTTCTTCCCAGAAATGATGTGGAAATGACAGTTCACAAGGTTTCACAGATGGAATATTACACAGCATTTTGGCTTTACTCAGTTTTGGAAAGATCTCATTGTACATGAAGTTTATGTTAGCCATTAGATGGTATCAGTGTGCACTGTGGAACAAATTACTGATTTCAATAGTTAACTGGTTCTCCATTAAGTTAAATGTAATTTAAATTAGAGATGGAAAAAATCCTTTTCCACTTACTACTTAAGCTTTCTCCTCTTCATTCTCACCTTTGTCTTTTTTCTATGAACATAGCTAGTGGATTTAGAAGCAGGATTTAAAATTGTTAGCCTGCAAAGTAAAACACGGTAAGCCTAAACAAGACCATTAACAATCCTGGTTTAGATATGGAAGGCTATATGCAACCCTTATGCTGTAAGAAAAACACTTTTACATCTGTAGTCTGTCCAGGTACAAAAACATTTAACATGATAGAAGCATGCTACTCCCAACCCCGATAACTCTGAATATACAGATGATGTACATAGCTGGCACATGGATTGTTGTAATTGTGTCTCCTCCAGTTTCAGAGTTTGTTTGGTAAAAAATTTATGAGGTCTTGCCTTGAAGCTAACAGTTCCTCAGGATTCTGGGTAACTGCCTTAAAACAGGTAGTGTGGTGAATTGCATTTAAATGACATGTGCTGATAAAAGGATGTATTTTAGAAGTCTCAACGTTGCTGTGAAGGAGGAGGGTCTCTAGGTATTGGGAATATAAATTTTCTTCTTAAGGTATATGCTGGTTGGGGCATCTGCTTCTTTGTCCCCCAGCGGTCAACACGTCTGCCCACATCTTCATTAACTTCTGTAAGAATCGACAAAATATCTTCACCCCTACAGCCAGAAGGAGAGCAAAAATAATCACTTATTAATGAGCAGGTGGCACTCCATTTAACGCCTCCCAAATCATCTAGAAGATACAGTATAAACATTTAAAACACAAAAAAGAAAAAACATCCTTTTCTCCAAATTTCTCCTCTTTTGTTCTCATTTGAGCCATACTAAAACCAAGATCTTTTCCTACTCTCTCTTACTTGATGTAATCAGTACAGAAAAATAATGGAATAATATATTTTTATCTAAACCTACTCAAGAAACAGATGGCTCTGCCTTAAAGAATACAGATGGAAGGTTTTGAGGTTTTTTACAGTAAACTCATTCTCCACATTATCTCTATGGTACTGGCAGCACTAATGTAAACTTATCAGTGGCAAGCAAACTAATCATCAGTTTAATTTTGTTCACCTCAGAACATGGGTTAGTGTTCCTATGTGAATCTGCCTCTGGAGGGAAAAAAAAAAAAAAGGGAAGTTCCTCCCATTTTTTCATCTCGAAGCTCAGCAAAGTATTTACCTTGGTACCAACAACTGTAGCTTGCTGCACAGGGCCTGAATATACCAAGCACCCTGTTGAATGTGGCGGAAAGAGGCATATCCATCAATTGTGGCCATGCCTAGGAGGAAATCTGCCTCTTCAGGAATACTTTCAGAAGGAGAAATGCTCTGTTGCATGGCAGACAAGTCAGGAATTCGTGCATCAGCTTCAACGTAGACAGGACACTGTATCTCTTTACCCTGGCATGCTTGGATAAAGAAGAGTTTGGGTTTTTCAGCCAGCTGTGGACATTGTTTGGCAGTGAAGTGGGACATGATCATGCGGATTGATACAAGTTCCTCATCTTTCCCATAGATCGCTCCTGACTCTCCATGAGATAGAATACAACATATAAAACAGTCCCTGTCTTTGTGATCTTGCAAATGCTGCCAAGTTCGCATGAGATCTTTAATCTCCCAAGATGTCTGATTTGTGTAAGTCCTCACATCCAGACCAAGCCATGTGAATACTCGCTCCAGTTCCTCTGTAATTAAAAGAAAGGTAAAAAGAAAAAATTGAGGCAGTAGAAAACAATTTCATGAAGTCACAATGCAAGCTAATCTGATCCGGGAAAGACCTTACACCCTGACACTTCTGCAGATTCCTCCTTATACTAGTATCAACTAAAGATTAACTGAAATAAAAGAAGGCAGCATCAGCTCAAACAGAGAGTTCCTGGATTTTTCTAGTCAAGTTTCAGAAAATACAATGACATTTTACAATGTATAATGACACACTAAGTGCTCACAAATGACACCTGAAAACATGAGGATTCCTCCCCTCCCCGAGTTTCAGATTACATCTTTCAAAACCTTCCTCACATCATTATTTTCCAGTTGCAGTTTTGACCATTAGAGTTTCACAAGAGATAAATAGAATGAACAGAATAAAATAAGAAGTACTCACAAGAGTTGCTTGATTATGGAATTTTGCATTATATTATGTAGAATGATGGTTTAGTTTAGTTTCAGTTCTTTATTATAGCTATTGATAAAGGCTAAGTAAGAAGAGATTCTTAAAATTATACAAGAGCTGCATCAGAAACTCAGTGGTTACTCATCCTTTAACCCTTCCTCCCTGAGGATACCCAAATTACATAATTTAACACATATCAAACATTTTAGTCTTTAAGAATATTAACTAACTAAAATATAGACAATAAAATATAGAGAAATACTAGACAATCAGCTCACATGGGGAAACAGAAAGACTAATCCTCCAAAAATCTCACTTCAGTAACTTACCAGCATCTTTGCAAGAACCCTTCCTCTCCTGAAGAGACCCATCAAAGTTAACATTATTAATAACAAGACAAAATCCTCTGTGTGGTCCATCCATTTTGTAGATCGTCATCTTCTGTAGAAAGGAGAGGAACAAAGCTTACAGCCTCAATGAATTGATTTAACTTACTCATATTGCCTTAACATGTCTCAAAATTGGCATCCCAAAATTAGAAGCACCTAAGACAGTAGGTTACTTTTAAAAAGTTGGAACTAAATGGTGCCTCCTTGTGTGAAAAGACACGGGTGAAGGCTCAAGCACATTCTGTCACCATACTATCAAACTGTAAAGGAAAGGTTTAGCAGCTGGGTTGGTCATCTGTATGCAAAAGGGAGGATGCAGCAGCCAAACTCTGCATCTGAATTGATGATGGGGACAGAAGTCCCCAAGTGTTTCCAGTGTCATGACAATATTTTAACTTCAGATGGCAGTGGAACTATAGGATGTTAGACATCTGAGTTGTTTTCTGAGAGCAGTGATGAATACCTGGAGCAAGTGGTTCATACTGATCCCCTGCAAAGGGATGCATGCAGAACAGAGATCTCAGAAGTGCATAAACCTGCTACACTACCAGTTTTTCTAAGACTTAAAAGTTACCTCCCACTCTTAAGAAAGAACGTTTTAAAAACTAAAAGGTCACTAAAACTTCAAGTACCATCTCTTCAAGTCCAACCTCAGGTTGAAATAAAAAATTCTCACCATTCCAGCTCCTTTCTGCTCACTAGAGCAACAAACACCTGCTTTTGTGCATTTTACTGGAACAAAATGAAGACAGCACTCCAAGCTCCATCAACAGCAGCAAGAAGTAACTTTTGCTACAGTAGTCTGAACATCAGGTGATGAAAAGATATGTTATAGCACAGAACTTCCAAGAAATTAAATAGTTATAAACAAATGCAGCAACTTGCTCCCTCAGTACTCATGTGCATCGGAAGGAAAAAGCCAGAGGGAGAATTCAGTGGTTACACTGCTGTACAAGGTTAAAGAATGCACATGAGGCTTCTAACAAGGGATCTCACAAAAGGGATCTTCTCTCCTGTACCAAGACCTCTGGTTTATTGAGGAAGATTGTTGCATGCCTGCAATAGCTTACTAAAAACTCTTGCCTTCTTTTATCCTTCTCACAAGGTCTTTGCATGCTACCCCTTATCGCTTTTGATGTCAAGATGCCCTGAGCTTTTTCTAACCCAGATCCAGAAAGAGAGAACTGTGAAGCTATGTTTGTCTCTGTGTCTTGCACATTCTGCTGCCATCTCCAAAATGTACAACTTATGAAAATGCCAAACATTTTGCCTGTATCAGGAAGATAAGCAAATGCACTGAAGTGTGGATAACATCAAAGGTATTATGCCTGTTTTGCCTCCGCCACACCTTTCAATATTGGTAAGTTTCTGGTCTCCAAGGTTAAAATACTCTCTGAAACATTCCAGTTGATCAGACAACTCAAAAAACTTCATGAGACACAAAGACATCTCATATGTCCTTGCACAATAAATGTCATTACAGGGACGAAGACGTCACACACCCAGGCATTCAAAAAGAAGGATTTAAGATATTGCCTCAAACCTTGGATTCATTTTCTACGTTGCTGAATTCTCCAGGCAGCTCCAGGTTCATTTCAGAGAAGCCTTGTGTAAGATCAGCTGCTTTGTTATCTAGGGAAAAAAAAAAACAGCATAGATATTTATGAAGAGAAATCAAATATTGGTGGATGTAGCAAAAAGGAGTTTAGCTACAATACAGCACTTTTTGTATTTGAAATATCATTTCATTAAAAGGAATAATTCCTCCATATGAGACAGCATTGTCATGTTGAAAGGATCTATTCTGAACATGACTCCAGTTATTTTTATTATATATATATTCGTGACAAAGGCAAGGTTTCTATTTGTATTGGTATTGTGGAACAAAGATATCCATGGTACAAGGATAGATTCTACCTGAGACATCCAAGTGAATTTTTCATTTGGAAATCAGCTTAAAAATAAACTGTATTGTAAGAAGGATCTGCAATGTAACTACTGAAGGTCCCATTACAGATTTTTTTTTTTGTTTCATTCCTGAACCACTGATAATAACTCTCAGACTGACTTTCAGAGCAAGGCTGCATCGACAGAGCTTGAAAGTGGAAAAGAGCTGACAGATGTTGTACTGCTATACTTTGCAACTGGTCTATCTGATGTGGAGTCACAAAGATGGATGCAAACTACCCACTGTTATTTGTACATAATCTTTTCAGAGATCTGATCCAAAATGTAACTTATTTATTGCCACTTTCTTTACTTCTCCTCCTGAATGCCCTAAAATGCTTGTCTCCTTTTGTACAAATCATACACTATTTAATGCATTCAAAACATCCATTTCTACCACGCAACACACCCAGGCTCTTCAACAAAGCAATCCATACAGCAAAAGAAGTCAGAGATAAAATCCTGCACCCCAAAGATTAGCATCTCAGTTTTATCAACAGTGATAGTGTCCCATTCTCTTGTCTTCCCAAGGATATTTAAACTGAAAACTTGTTTTCCATTTTCAGGAAAGAAATTATCTTTTTGCTTCTAACCAGACCAGCCCTTCCCTTATTCCACTTCCCAGAAAGTACATTAGCTAGTTTCTAGTAAATGACTAGCAAAGTACACAGGATTTGCCAATTTTCTCTTGCTTCTTCTATATAAGAACAGAAATCCTTCAAATCTACTCGTTCAGAAAGCAAAAGACCCTTCCAAGAAGACAGCAAGGTAAGTGTGTTGCATTAAACCAAATGCTAGAAATTTCCCAGAGAAAGTAAAGGAATACAACATTAAATGTAAAAGCAATAAAAACAAACATATTTTCAGAAATTCTTACCTTTGATATTAGAACCAACAAATTTGATCGATGTCTCCTATTTTTGAGTGGGGGGAATACCATGTTAAAAATCATTATTACATATAATAAGTTTTCATAGTGATTTTAGCAAAATAGGCTTAATACAAAGCTCTTTAAGTAGTGCGTAGGAAAAATATTGAATTCCTAAGAGCAGCAAAGCATTTAATAATGAAATTACAAAAGACTTCCCCACTTACAGCAAATCTCACAGAGCTGGAAACAACTATATTTTCTCTTAAGGATAAAGAGAAGCAGCTAAGAATTTTCTTTCACTTCCAAATGACCTTCTCACTATAGGGGCAGGCAGTCACTATAAACAAAATAAAGGTCCGAACATAGTCCCATATAAATTCTCTTGGATAGTCAATTATTTGAGTATAAATTGTTATAGCTAGTGGTTCTTGTCCTGCGTAAGAGACATCTTCTAGCAGGAAGTGTCAATGGTTTATTATACAGCATGGAAAAAGTGTATAAACTCTCATCATTTTAAAGAAAAAACAAACATGATCATCAAGATTACGGAAACAGTCTCTTAATCTTTTTTTTTTTTTTAATTCTTTTAAATCTATGTTTTCTTAATAAAACTACATTCATTTTCTTACTGTGCCAATTGCCATGCATGAGGGCTTCCTCAAAACCTCTGCACATGTAGAGCAAATATAGCTCAAAGCAGCAGTTTTTTTCAGGAATGCAAACCCTTTTGATACTAAATTGCTCATTTTCCTCAGCTCTTGTCTACCAGAACTTCACTTCTGGGAAGGATCCTTACAAAGATCACTGGTTTTCCTCATTCAGAACTGGGTAAAAACTCCTTCCCTTCCTCTCCTCTTCCCCAAAAAAAGAGATCAGTTATAGCCCAAATCAGTTTCCCAATCTGATTCATCATGCAGCTGCAGGAGGGGTTTAACTGATCAAGGACTGGTACATTGAGAAAATGGGACCACCTCCTTTAGCAGCAGCAGTTTGAACTGATCATCAAAGCACAGTGTTAGCCTTTAGAGATAGTTTAGTGTTGATCAGCTGAAACTTTAAAATTCAGCACCGACTGACCAATTCTCTAGAAGGCACCTGTCTAGCTTTTTCTGTCACTCATCTCTCTTCCTAACAATTTTTTCCCCAATTGCATCTGACTAATAGCAGTATTTTTGACTTCCACTCTTTGACACTATATGCAGCTTTTTTTTCTTACATGCTGAACAAATATGATTGTTCCCTTCCTAAAACAAGTAAGAAGATTTAGCAAAAAATCTCACAGCCAGTATGATTTCAAAATAAATGCAAGAAAAAACCCAACCCCTCAAACCACTAAAACTCAAGTTGGCAATATATACTCCAGTATACCTGAGGGGAAGTGAATAGTCTGATGTCTCCAGGGCGAGACAGTGAGGATTCCTTGACTGGCAGAGTGTTCTCCTGCTGAGGCAGAGACACTAAAAGCAGGAAGAGACAAAATGAGATAAGCCAAGTGCCTTTTAGTTAAACCAGTAGGAATCTGCACATTAGGCAAATGCAGATCTATACTTACTGAAAGATGTATTAAAATAGAAAGCAGCTTTGAAACACACTCAGAAAGCATGGGACACTGGAACTCATGGAACGCTGAGTGCCCTTGCACCTAGTGGGGAGATGTAGCTTTCTACTTCCCAGAATCTGTTTCCCAGTGCTTAAATAAATGGAAATAGAACATTTTCCCTAGTATGTTTACAGTCACTCCACAGGACGTTACATGAAGGAATATTACAAACTGCAGTATAACCCCTGATAATGTGAATCACACATTTAATAATAAAGCTTACCACGTGTCAGACACACACGCACACACAGTTTGCCTCGCCAGCTTATTAGCAGGCAAGTCTTGTTGTAGTCTACATCCATACATCACAAAGTGCCTTTTACAGGACAGTCATCATCATCTCAATACTACTCATGGAGAAATGGAGAAGTGTGGCATAACTATAAATAGATTTTCAGTTTCCCAGCCCGTTCTGTATGTGCTGGACTACTCTGTACAGCCTCAGATATTCCAGCACATCCCTACTAGAATCCAGCTAGGAAGTAATGCAAGCTAGGGACTGCTAGGCCAAATTTGTGTGTGAAGATGAGCGATCCCACTCTAGCTCCTGTTCCAGCAATGCAAATATAGGACCTTGAGGTTCAGTTGCCCAGACCCCTCTACTGCTTCCTGTATTTTAGCAAACCTACTCCCTGACTCTGAATTTCTCACCTTTTGCCCTTTTGTAGCAGTTTACCGTGTCCAGGAGATCAGGTGAAACATTCATACAGATTTCCTCCAGCATCTGTACATTGTTCTCAGTTAAAAGTCCCTGTTTTTCCAATAAAATCAGTAATTCCAGAGCAGACTGACAGACAAAAGGAGAGAGTAAAATATAGTTATTTTTCCTTAGAATTCAAAACCTGCCTCAGCCCTGTGTGCCTCGGACAATCACATTATTATCTGCTTTGCTTCCTACCAACGAGGTCCAGTCAATTTTACATCACTGTGGGAGGTGGAAGTGTTGCTCCATGGAAAGCTACCGGCCGCATTATTATTTCATACGGTCTTGTTTAAACAGATTCACCCAAATCATATTAATGACTCTTGGCTTCAAGAAGGCTTTATTGCTGTGAGACAGTACCAATGACATATAGACATGAATTGCCTTTGCACATGGCTCAAGCAGGGTGAAGATTTGATTTGGCACCCTTTTATATCTCATGCAAGACTGGACTGTCAGTGGTTGACCTTGGTACAAAACACCAAATTTCACACTTAACCCGTCAACAACTTCCTCCTTGCTAACCCTATAAATACTCATGAGCCTAGTTGCAGATGATGTCCTATTCTGCCAATTACTTTTCTCTTCACGCTTTTCCTCCTATTCCCCCCCCTCTTTCTTCCCTTCCCGCCATATAGACATTTGGCTCTCTCCTCACATACAAGAGTTATCCGTCGCTTTGGAAGACAGTTTTGCAGGAGGAATATGATATCCTTCAAGATCTCATTGGTAATGTTCTCTGACAATTCATACAGCATCTGCCTGTAACAGAGATCCAGTGAGATAACAGCAGAACAGGAGACAGTGTAGAAACAAAAGGCAATCTGAGAATTTAAAAATGGAAACAGTATGGCATAGATGGCAGTAATGGAGAGAACAGAATCCCACCGCAAGCTTACCTGTACGGAGACACTCTTCCCTTCTCATGCAGACATTCTTGCACTTTCTCCTTGGTATAACCAAGTTTCTTGAGCAAGGAGTGACATTTAATTCTGTATAAGAGTTCAGCTAGTAGGAAAGTATCTTTCTCATTCAGATATTCTTCAGCCATGAGAAGCTGAAAGATGTCCACTGCTGACTTCACACTTTCTAGTTTTTTGAAGGGGAGCAAGTCAGTACAGAGAAATTTTAAAGCTGCTACATCTTCAGCCACCAGATTTTCATCAATGAGCAGAAGCTGCTGACGGAACTTCAAGCTGACATCATCCTCCATGGTGCTGGAACCAACAGTCCCTCTGCCTGAAAGCAGAAAGCAAACGCCAGTAACGCTTGAATCTTCAATACAACAATCCTTGTAATAACATTTCATCCAACAGCTGTTTGGAAGCCCTGAATTCTTTGCAGAAGAGGAGTTTTCTTTTAAACAAATTTTAAACTTACTTCCTTCTCCAAACACAAGACTACAACAAAGACCACATTTGGCAGAAGCTCTGAACAACTCAGTCTAAATTTGAAGTCAGCCCTGGTCTGAGCAGACAACTGGGCTAGATGACCTCAAGAGGTCCCTAAGTTCTTCTATTTCTTTCAAACATTTTTATCGTTCAGATCTTTGCTTCTCTCCACTGTAGGTGGGAAGAGTCCCTGCGATAATTTACTACAACTCTCAGTGGAGAGAGCACAGTGGTTCATACATACTCCTTCATCTGCAGTTCAGGAGCTCATTTTTCTCTGGCTGTAGGAGGGAGGCATTGCTCTGTTATAAGCCTGACACCCAAGCTAAAGCTGTGGAATATCCATCGACTCCCAGTTGTATCTTGCTACCAGACTGTTTCATGTTTGGCATAGGAAAACCCTAAAGTCTCCCTTACAAGTAAAAGTCAACTAAAACATAATAGCGCTCAGTGCTCAGTCTAAATAGGCTCTGCACAAGCAACTCAATCTTACTGAAGTTTAATAGAGACTAATCACCCTTCCGCTATACCAACTTCTTCCACATAGCCGAGGCAGTTCTTTTTTGCCTGTGAAAGTTCATATAGGCAAAAAGGTGCTTCAGTGACTTCTCCCAAATAGGCAGGTAGGTCTTTAACCTTCTGTTTAGAGCAGCTGGAAGCAGCAAAGCTTCCTACATGAAGGAGCACAAGAAAAAAATCAGGGAAGCAGAATAGGGACAGAACCTCTGAGTCTGAAGCCTCCAAAGCATCTGGGAGGGCAGCTCAGCAGATAAACCATAGAGAATATCACAGCATATGGGAGCACAGAGAAGAGACTGTTGCATTTTTGGGTTCACGGGCAGAGAGAAAATATAATTCCCGAAGTCCAGATGCCCCGTTAGGAAATGAGGTTTGACAGAACACAGGAATCCTGAATCGAGTCCTGTCCCTAAGTCACAAGGCTGTGTGAAAAATAAAGGTCAGATTGCTTCTTCCTGTATTCAAACTTACTCTCCCATAGCTCAATAATTGTTCTTCACATTCCTTTTCTCCTCATATGAAATCCCATGTGTTGTGACACCCTCTTCACTTAGGCTGCAATCAAAAAGGTTCTGATCTCAGCCTGTTATCTACACACAGAAATTATATCACTTCACAGTAAATCAGACTTTAAATTAATTTAGCTAAAATCTACTTTAAAACCCTATCTAGATGCTTTAATCAACTACATTTAGCAGAAAAATTTAGGTTAAATGGATTCCTGGCTAAACTAACAAGCCTATATGATCCAACTGAATTATGACAATTCAGAATTTAGGGCCAATGATTTCAACTAAATAAGTTAAAAAAAATCATTGTTTCCGGAGAACAGGGGCAGGTTGTGTGTACACCAGATGTACATAGTAATTTCATCAGCACATCAAACTGAAGCAAGATCCAGCACAAATTCCTTTAACTACCTTTAAAATACGTTTCAAATCTGTGTCGCTGACATTCTTGGAAAGATTTTTTCACGCGAAATGTTTCCTGCTTGAGTTAGGAATACCCTCAAGACCTCTCAAGACGTGCTGCATTTATTAGAGGTTACTTGTCTGTAACCTCTCTTCGCCCACTCTGTACTGAGGGCAAGCTGCGGTGGCCCTCTCTCCCAGCACTACGATGAAAGGAAATACTGCCGGCTCACTGTCTGCTCATCCGCTGCTCAGCTTACAGCTACAGTGTTTTTAGAACCCTCTGCCACTTCATGCATTTTACAGGGCATTTATAGAACATCAAAGTAAAAAAACCAGAGTCCTGTGAGAAACGTTCACCTATGTAGTTTTTAAAAGAGGACAAAGTCTGTGAAGCAAAGGTTTATTCCAGCACTGGGTGCACGGGAGATCACCTCCATGATCCTCCTGCATGCACACTGGTTAGTCTAACTTCCACAAATTTACTTAGGACAGTCATTCATATTCATGTCATTTCCCAGAAGTCTTAAAATTATTTAATCTTATTTAAATTATTTCCCCGAAGTTATTTACATCTATACCCTCCCAGTTGTATCTGCGCACTGTTCTCTAGGGGTCTTCTTTGGGGGTCCTGGTGTGAAGGCTCAAAGTCTTCCTCTCGGTTAAACTTCTTATTCCCATGCTTGTGCTCTATTGTTTCAGCTACATTGCAAACCTAAGTTCGCAGTTAATGCTCTCTTTCATATAAGGGCGGGAACGTGACATCCAGGAAGACGCTAATCATGGCTAAGGTAAGTGGTGTCAGCCAAAGCAATGAAACCCTGTCTCCGTCCCCATACTTCTCTTAATACACATTACCCTGTCTCCATCCCCATACTTGGGTACCTGGAAACTTACATTCTTTCCGACTGCCTGTCTACTATGACTTAAGCAAAACTACAATATTATTTATCACAGTCCTAAAGAAAACAAGGAAAACGAGCAAACAACCCCTATTCCAGTAAACAAGATGACGCTAAACACCCAGCACTAACACACACGTGTCCCACGACCGACCCACTCCCCACGTTTGCCGCGGCTCACCCTAACATTTACAGCTACCGCTACCAGGACGTTAGCAGGCAGAACACCGACACGCAGAAAAGCAATGGATCGGCCTATGTTTTGCGATATACCCTTAGAGAAGAAAAACGACATCAAATAACCAATAAGGATTATCAAATAACTAATTTTTCCTTTACAAGTTTTATTGACTACCGCACTACCAGACTACAAGATTTAAGAATTTTTTTTTAAAAAGGAGAAAAGGGGATTGCGGAGACTCAGCCCCACAAGCAAGGCGGGTACTGAGGTCCGGCGCCCCTGGCAGCCGAGGCAGCTGCACGACACCGGAAGGAAAAAGCCCGATTTAGGCTCCGGAGTCGGCAGCTGAAGGCTTCCTTCGTTCCCTCTCTCCAGTTCAGTCCACCCTTTCTTACCTCGTACGTGAATTCCGACTCCGTCCTCTCTCACGGCAACGACTTAGGGGGCGGCGCTCAGCGCTTCCCGGTTTATTTCCCGATACGCCGCGAAGGCGCGGTGCGTGCCTAAGTGCTGAGTCACGGCGCCGGGCCTCCCTGCGGGGGGCGCCGGGCCCTGCGCTCTGCCGAAGCCGGTAACGGCCGCGCAGGAAGCAGGTGGTATCCCTAGTAGCGGGAGCGGAAAGTAGGACAAAGTCGAGGGAAGGACTTGG